AAAAATTGAAAATGGATGCAATCAAGTTGATATTTGCAGGGAATATAAACTATCCAAATCTGTAGTTTGTAACAAATGGAAAAATAGGCAATTAATTATTTCTGCTCATGAAAAAAATTTCGATGGCAGAAAAAAGTTGAGAAAAGCGGACCACAAGGATGTTGAAGAAGCATTACTGAAGTGGTTCACCATTCGAAGAAGCCGCAATCTTCCAGTATCTGGACAAATGTCCATGAATTTGCTAAGCGATTTTATGAGGCAACTTTTATGTGCTCGAATGGCAGATTAGACAGGTTTAAATAGCGGAATAACAGAAATTCAGGAAAAATTATCTGAGAGTCAGGAAGTGTTTTAATATCTGATTTTGAGGATTGCTCATCACCTAAAAAATACTAATTTTTTTTGCACGCAAGACGAAGAGTAATGAAAAATAACACATATTTTACTACTACATAATATTTTTAAGTCATTTATTTGAATGATGTGTAATAAAAGGGAGGAGTTTGGGAATCATTAGTTAAATTGCATGTGTAACGGATATAGTGAACTCCCGGTTATAGTGAACCAAAATGTCGGTCCCTTGAAGGTTCACTATAGCGGGGTTTGACTGTATTTGTAAAATTATAAAAAAAATCATTAAATTTTTTTGTAATTTCATATTTCTGTTCTTATTTAGGCAATTATTTTCAGAGTTTATGACAACTATTTTCATGCTTTAGGTTTACTAAAAGCAACTATTTGTTAATTTTTTCTGTTTTAACTATTTTTGTTAATCCCTCTATTTAGAGCAGAGATGTACTGGTTTATTTATTTGTTTCATTATTTCCTTATTTTTTTAGTCCCCCATCGTGAATCTTCACCATGATTATGCAGAAAAATTACTTTTTGATGATTTCATTGCCAGGCATGGAAAAGAATACAAAGATGAAAGAGGTAAGCCTGATGGAATGTTTTGAAGTTTGCATTAGAAAATGTGCTTTTTTTAAAAACTTTTTCTTTTTATTACAGAAAAAATGGGTCGATTCAAAGTCTTTCAAGAAAACTTAAAGAAAATCAAATTTCTGAATGACCATGAGAAAGGAACTGCAAGATATGGTTTAACACACTTCGCTGACTGGACAGGTAAATAATCTAAATATAAATTTAAAGAAATCTAATTATAATAAAAAATAATCTTACTGTAACATAAGAATTTCATTTAAAGAGACTAGTGTAATGTTTTAAAAAAATTGAATTTTATTCAACAGCATATCAAAACCACATTTTTTAAATAGACCAATGTAATTTATAGGCAATCAGTGATCCAATTTACTTAAAAATGTATAAAAATTGTTAATAATAGGAAATTTAAAAAAAAAACTTGTGCTATGTGATTCAGAAATATGAATAAATCAAGTCGCTAATTAAATTAAATTGAAAAAAATTTTTTTTTTAAAAGTCTGGTTTAAATGAAATTATGTATAATATAAGTGAACAATGAGTTTTATAAGCTTTTGTATTCACATAATTAGTTGAATTATCACACAATATGTAAATTATTAAATGTTTTCTCACCTAAACTGGCACTGAAAGAATTTTTTAAAATTTATGATTTTATGTCAGATTTCATAATTTAATTTATAGTAATTATTAAGCATATTTTAACCTCTCAAATTATGAAAAAACTACCACTACATTTTGCTATAAAAATTTGTTCATTATAGAAAAAATGCCATTGAAGTTTTATGCTTTAATTTAAAAAACATATTTTAAATTCCCAGCATTATTTATTTTAGTAATTGATTTTTAATAATTGGTATACAATTAATAACATGACTTTGAGTACTCCATCTTAGAAAATTGAGAATATTATTTTTTTAAGTACGAAATTAGCAAGGAAGTTAACTTAGTGTATTTATTTTCAAATAATTTTAAAGAAAAGTAAAATAATCAAGTAAAATAAAAAAGTTCAAAGTTAAACAAAATCATAAGCAATATATAAAGCAAATAGTTATACCACTAGTATTTAATATTCAACTCTTCTATAAGTTTTTTACACTATATTTCAGCATATGAAAATACTTATGTATTTCAAAAAGATAATTTATAATAATTAAATTTTGAATCTATTTTATTGTACTTATGTATAAAAATGTGAAATATATTATCAAGAGAAGAACTGTTCAAAAGTTTTGTTTTTTTAAAAATAAACTTCCTGAGCTGCTTTATTTGTCATTATTTTGTTGGAAAAGTTTGACTGAGTCAAGTTTTTTTTTTTCGTTCAACAAAACAATCCTATACTCAATTGTACAACCTTTCAACAAAAGACCTGCTGTTTGTTGTCATGATTAGTATTTTTTAAAGTTGAGTATCTTCCTTGTTGAGTGAAATTGAATAAAAAAGCAAATATTTTCATTCTCAAATAAAAGCTAAAATATCATGATTTCAATGTTCAATTGAAGGAATTTTTCTTAATAAATAACTAATCTTAGTAAATAACTATTGACAGTGTAAACAAAACTTAATTGTACCTTAAATATATATAATTTTGTAAAACCCAAAAGAAAAACCTGATCATTGGATTTTCAACAAAATTCATAGATACCCAGGTAGGTATTTTAGAATTTAAGGTATTTATCCCAAGTTACAAGAATCTGGGTATTTTACATCTATATTCAGAGGTAGAACAAATAAAATTTGTTTTAGAATTAATTACCTAATTTATTCGTCTTTGTATAATTTGTCTCTACTTTGTATTGAAGATGTGATTTTTGTGTCTATTGTAGGGGAAGAATTCAAGCGAAATGCTTTAGGCTTACGCCCAGATCTTATGGATGCAAATGAAATGCCACCTTCAGCTGAAATTCCAAAAATTAGCATCCCTGATTCATTTGACTGGCGGGACAAAAAAATAATAACTGAAGTTAAAAATCAACAACAGTGTGGATCTTGCTGGGCATTTTCTACCACTGGAAATATTGAAGGACAGTGGGCACTGAAAAAGAAGGCTTTGGTTTCCCTATCAGAACAAGGTTTATTTTTTCTTCTTTTCTTGGAATTATTTCTCAATATCTCAATAAATGAATTATTTCTCAATAAATGAATAATAGAACCAATGTACAGTGCACAAAAAGAAAAAATGATCCACCCTGAATAACTTTTAATGTAATGATTGAATCTTCACGCTCTAGGTTTAAATCTTGATAGTTTGAGGGGATGACTTCAAATATACTAATTAATTAGTGCAGACAGTATTTTAAGTTATAAAATCAGACATAAAAAAAACTTACTTTCTCTGAATAAACATACCTTTTTTGACGGATTCTGATTTCTGACCCTCAAAATATATGGGGAAAAATCTGGGAAATATGAACCCCATAGTTTGGTCAGGAGAGCGATCTAAAGTTTAAACCCCTTAATGTTCATGTTCATCCTCAATGTTAAACCCCTTAATGTTTTCACTCAAATTTTGTATTTTGCCATGTAAAATTATATACTTAAAAATAATGCAAAAAATTGTATACCTTACAATTCAAAATTTTTTCTGCTATTTAATAAAATAATAAATATTTATTTAAAACTTATTTTTTGCATGGAATTATCTATGGATAAATAAATCTTATAATTCTGTGCAAAAATGCTTCAATTCGCTAAATTTTTTTTTCGAGATATGGCAAAATTAACATTTAGCGGTCCAAACTTTGGATTGCTCTTCTGATCAAATTATGGGGACCATATTTCACAGATTGTGACTATCCCCCTATATTTTGAGGGTCAGAAATCCAAATACGTTGATAATATGTTACGTTATTCTGAGAAAGAACGTTTTTGTGGCTGAGTTCGTGACTTAAATTTTTGCCTGCACTAATTAATTAGCAAATTTGAACTCACCCCCTCGAACCATTAAGATTGAGTACTAGAACGTGATTATCCAATCATTAAATCAAAAGTTATTTAGGGTTGTTTTGGTGCACTGTACACCTATAATTAATAAAAGTATTGATGCTACAAGTTTCAGTATCCTATTTTATCGTTGAAGTGTATAATTTTTTGTAGATATATAATTTAATGCAACAAACACGTTACTTTAAAGTCCATTATTATTCTGTGCACAATTTTCAGAATTAAAATTTTAATATTTTATTAAATCTTCTTTTTCATGGATTACAGTCTGTTTTTGTGAGGACATTGTCTCTAGAAGCCTCTGGAGTGCATTTATGTTCATAGCCTGATAGCTGAAGCTTTTCAGCGTAGGTTCTGCAGATTATCACCATATTTTCAGATTTTTCCTCTCACATTTGTTAGTATGGGGGGATGGAAAAAACTGCTGAGGAAAGAAAAAGAAAGATTTTTCTATCCTCATTTATGACAGGGTGCGTAGCATTTTTAAAAAGTGCTTAAAGATACTTATTTTTAATTTACTTTTTTTAAAAGCCCTCAAAGCTGCTTTTTTTATTTATTCGGGGTTTGTAAAATGTGATTAATTTTCTCTTTCAAAAAGATATTTCTTTGCAGTGCCAATTGTCCTTCTAAATTACAAAAAATTCATGTTTTTCACAATTTTCTCTGCAATATTTATCAGAAACTATTTATTTTATCATGATTATGTAAAGTTTTTGAATTTTATTGATTTTTATGCTAATAAATTAAGAATTTTAAACAATAGGAGAAAATAATTTTTATCACTGCACAGATCCGAATTATAATTTATTTTTTGGAAAGTGATAAAAAATATTTTTTGAGTGCTTAAAAAGTACTTAAAAGGTGCTTATATTTTTGTAAAACAATCTGGCTACGCAAGCTGTATGAGAGATAAATTAAAACTGCATCTTTTTTTTTAATACTTGATATTGCAATTATTTGATCTAATTTATTACGGATGTTGCATAATATTTTTTATGCGCAATGCATCATTGTAATTGTTTAAAAAAGTTGTTCACAAAAGCATCCAGCCTAATTTATGAGAATAATCAGATAATGTTGTATCGTCATTTTATTTCAAGTTTGAATGTTAAGCAAAGAAATAAAGTTTGGAATCAATTTTTATTACCCTTAAGGGGATAAATCTGTAAGGGATTTAAGGAAGGGGTATATTATCAAGGGGATACAGCGTAAAGGATTATATTTAAGGATTACTTTTTTTTACAAGCTTCTACTGAGTAGCAGCTTGTAAAAAAAAAGGGATTTTTTAATGAATTTTACTACGATTGTGATAAATATAATACATTTTTTAAAAATCTTATTGTACACATTTTAATCTTCATTTTGTCATGTGACTAATACAAAAATTAAAAAAAATTAGCGCTTATATAATACAATGTTTATAGCTTATATATTAAAATTATCCATTACTTGCTGTACTTATAAGTGGAAAAAAATCTTCCAAAATTGATTCGGTTTTGATTTGTTTTAAATTCTATGAAAGTAGTATTTTTTTTTAAAAAAAAAAATTCTTTTTCACAAAAAGGCAGAGTTTTGAGAAAAAAAAATGCATAAAATAAGTTACTTTTTTGTGGATTACTCAAACAAAAGTCAACCCAATCAAAAAAATCCTTATGTGCAATGAAAACTATATTTGTTGTAAACTTTTTGTCAAAATTTGAAGTAAATTGGTTGAAATTTGTACAAGTTATAGATTCAAAAAGTAAGAGAAACTTTGTTTTGAGTTAAAAGTTTTGTGTTCAAGAATCCATATAAATGTATAAAATTTTGCACCTAACTATATTGCATCAATACCAGATTCATAAGATGCTTCTTCTCCATCATTTTCAGCTGTTTCAAGTGCTAGTCTTCTTCTTTCAGCTGTTTCAAGTGACTTATCTGTTTCTAGAATAGCATCCAAAATTATGCTTTCATCTTCATCTGGAGCATATTCTTTGGCTGCTGGGCTTACATTTATTTCTAATTGTTCCAAGACTGTCAATAACTCTTTACAACGTTCATTAAAAATTATTACAGCTAAATACGTTGCTATTAATTCTTTTTCTTGCATAATTTAAGCAAATTATTTCAATAAAATAGTTAAGGTGATAATATTTTACTAAAATGTTTTAATGGGAGGGAGTAAGTCTGTTAATCAACGGAGTGCCCAAGTTCACTTGTTCATACATGTTTCCCCCTTAAATACAAATTATTGTTTTTTACTTTCAGAACTAGTGGATTGTGATAAAGTAGNTTTTTATTGCTTATAATAAAACTTCAAAGTATTTCAAATGTACAGAAAAAAATTCATCTCTCTATCTACATTTTTAAAAAAGTTATGAATGATTTTAAATTGTTCTAATACAGAAACTTGCTCAGCAGTCTGACTTTAAAGTGCTTTTTCGCATAGGTGATAATTTTGTGTCTTAATCTTAATTAAATCCCTAAGGAATTTTTTCTATTTAAGATAGAGCTTTAAAGTAAACTTTTTTATCTTGAGGATAATACACTTATTTGAACTGTGCATGGAATAAGCGTTTTATGAGGTATTACAATTTTTACGTCATGTTATATATACCTAACAGGAGTTTTTACACTTTTTTTTCTACTTTTTTACAAAATAATCTATAAAAAATATTCTAATTGAATTATCAACAAATGAATGCACAAAATTATTAAGATAAATATTGCAAGCACTATGAAAAAAACTTTTTTTGAAAATATGTTAAAATAAAAAAGCCTTAGGGATTTAAAATTTTAGAATTTTTTCAACTTTTTTTAAAATTTTAAAAAAATTCAACAGTTTAATTACTTTTTGAAGATAAATTATTGATTATAACTTAAATGAGCATGTAAAGCATCCTCAAAATCAATGATTATACCTTTATTTTAAAAAATTGTTGCAAAGGTACTGTGACCCCTTAAATACAAATTATTGTTTTTTACTTTCAGAACTAGTGGATTGTGATAAAGTAGATCAAGGATGCAATGGAGGATTGCAGACTAATGCTTATAAAGAAATTATTCGCCTTGGCAAGTACTTCATTTTTTGTAATATTATTAGTCATTTTTGTGACTGACAAACACTCTTCATTTTATATCATTTTTAAATCTGGTCAAAAACCTGGCTTAGTAGAAAATACTGTAATAAAATTAAATAAAGGAACTATATATTGGTGCTCAAAATTAAAAGAATTTTCTGATTTACGTTGATTATCATCAGAACCAATTTAAATGAAATTTGGTAATTTCTTGTATTATTAATTTCTTATAATAATTTTTTTGTAATATTATTTCTTCTAACATTATTAGTAATTTTTCTTGATTGATAAACTCTCTTTATTTTATTTTATTTTTAAATCTGGTTAAAAACCTGGTGTAGTAGCCAAGTTTTTGACCAACCAGGTTGCACTGTAATAAAATCAAATATAGGGATTATATATATATATATGTATACGAGTTTTCAAAATTAAGAGAATTTTCAGATTTTGTGGATTATCATTAGAACAAATTTAAATGAAATTCGGTTTTAACACAGCTTAATATAATACCAACAAAATAACCATCCAACAGCTATTATGCTAAATGCGTGGTCATACATAACATTCATTGGAGCCTGAAGATATGAAAAAGGGGTTTCGGAATAATTTTAAAAAAGGGTCAGTAAAGGTATGGGCCTCTCCCAGTCTATTCTGAATGGTGTGATGTATCACTCTATGATTTTATTTGGGAAATAACGCATAATAAGTGTTTATTTTATTTTATAACCGTTGTTCAACATCAGACCCAGATTTTGGGTTTACAACTCACAATGTTCACACATGGTACAATGTTCAACTATGTAGTCTTGTAATTTTGCACCCTATCCAGAAATGAAGGGAACTCCTGGATCAAGCATTGGGAGAAATTTGCCTTCGTGGAAGACTTTTTTTTGATGGAACTAACCTGCATTTGAGTCACATGGAGAGAAAAATCTCCCACGGTTAGCCTGACGGCAAGGGGACTCTAACTCATGATCCGTCTACCACTGAGGATATTTCACGTCAACACTGTGTTCGGTGCAAGTTGGATGCGGAATTCGTATCCATCAGCCACTACTGGGATTCAAACACGGTTCACCTCATTGGAAGGCGAACGCTCTATCCCCCGAGCCAGCGCAGCTCTATTGAGCCATTGCAGTGTTTCTTATTGTGGTAATTATTCAGGAGATCTAATTTTTCCATTCATCAGGCTAATATTTTCACTTTCAAGAAAATTATCAACAAGAAGAACTATTTGTGGCCATGTATTGTGGTATGTTAAAATGAAATCAGAGCCAATTACACCCTTAAAGCCGTGACGGCCAGGGAATAGAGCGTTCGTCTTCCAATGAGGTGAACCAGCTAGTGCGAGCTAGACTGTCGGCCAGACGTGGACTATACGGTTAAGGGTTTTGCAAACCTAGGTACGTGTCCACGTCTGGAAGAGAAAAAAAATGAGGTAAACCCGGTTCGAATCCCAGTGATGGCTGGTCAATACAAATTCTGCACCCAGCTCACACCGGCCACAGTGCTGACGCAAAATATCCTCAGTGGTAGACGGATTAAGGTTAGAGTCCCCTTGCTGTCGGACTAACTGTGGGAGGGTTTCGTTGTTTTCCTCTCCATGTAGAGCAAATACAAGTTAGTTACATCAAAAAGTCCTCCATGAAGGCAAATTTCCCCCAATACTTATCCAGGAATTCCCTTGTTTTCTGGATTGGGTTGAAAATTACAAGGCTACGGAGTTGAACGTTAGTAGTCGTAAACCCGAAAAATTCGGTTGGCTGTTCAACGATGGTTATCAAATAAAATTATGCCCTTAAAATGTTAGTATTTTTGTTGTTTTGTATCTTATTTTATCACTTGACTGTACCACATTATCTTTCATTATAAAAGTTAAACTGACAATAATAACGTTAACTATGAAAAATGAATAACTTTTATTGGAGGATACTTGTATTAGATATAAATTTGCGAAATGATTGTTATTTCAAAATTAATTTTTATTTCATTGTGAAGTGAATTTTTAAAGTGTGTTGTAGGTGGATTAGAACAAGAGCAAGACTATCCCTATGAGGCTGAAGGTGAAAAATGTGAGTTTTCAAAGTCTAAAGTAAAAGTTTACATCAATGGATCAGTCACGATTTCTTCAAATGAAACAGGTATGCATGCCTCTCAAATATCAATAAAATAAAAAACACAATTTATGAAGTGATTTATTTAGAAATCATTTATTATTATTAATTTTAATTATTATTTATTTAGAAATGGCACAGTGGTTGGTGCAGAATGGACCTATTGCAATTGGAATTAATGCAAATGCTATGCAGGTATGTTCCGCTGCACCCCGAAAACTTTTTTTTTTATTCACAGCTCAAATTATGTATTTAAGAAAATAGACAATGCTTTTGTTAGAAAAGGGACATAGCTCAAAACGCATATTTAAGAAAATGGAGAATGCTCATGTAAGAAAAGGGACAAAGCTTAAATAAGAAAAGGGACATAGCTCAAAATGTGTATTTAAGAAAATGGACAAAGCTTATATGTTAGAAAAGGGACATAGCTCAAAATATGTATTTAAAATAGACAAGCGTTCGATTCGATTTTCCTAACTGTATTACTGTTACTTTTTTTAAGAATAATCAAATCAATGAATTAATCAAGTGAATTCAAATAATGCTGTCATTCAAAAGACATCTACAGTCCTTTTTTGCTAGGTTGCCTCAGGTGACATGAATTTATAATAGCTGCCAACTCGACTGGATTTTACTAGTTTCTCTTGGTCAAAATGCATATTAATAAAAACTGATTTAATACAAATTCTTCTGGTTTTTGTGCATTTTAGAAAATTTTCTAAAATTGAGAAAGTTTCCTTAAAAAATCCTTATTGAAATAGAATTTTTGGGCAGATTCTTGCATGCCTGAATATTTAAATAAGTGTTACTAATACACAATGAAGCGAGCTTCATTTATGAAAATCAGTTTAAAATTTTTCTTTTGTTCTGAAATGTTCAGTTTATTTTTAGCCAAAACTCCCTTTTTTCATTATTTAAAAAATCCTTGTTTTTAAAAACTATTTTAGATGAATTAAATGCCTATTACTATCCAAAATTGTGAGTAAACATAATACATAACATTTTTAGCTTGTTTAATGTCAATCATGACTGGAGAATATTGCGGTCTTTCTATATTGATGACTATAAAAAACCCTATGTGTAAAATATTTAGTACATTATGCAACAATTGTCATGAAATTTATATCATTTTGTAAAATCTAGGCATTTATGCAGTTTTCATAAATATGCTTTATTACTTGTTGGAATTTCATTTATTGAATTGAATATCATTTAGCGATTGTCTGAAAAGTTAGATATGTAATATACTAAGCCACTCCGTGATTATTTTGTTAACATAATTTTTAAAAAAGTAAATAAAATAGTTAAAATTTAGATTTAAGTTGCATTGTGTGTACTTACTGAAACTGTGGCTCTAATGTCAAACACGGAGTGCTAATGAAAACAGATGGTTTTGTTTTATGTTCCTCTCTTGTGCTTTTTTCCTTTTTCAAATTTTAGTTTTTCTCAATTTTATTTATCATTAATTTTTATAGACAAATATTTTAATTTCCCCCTTATCATTATTAATATTTTATTACTGTCGATAGCAATAATTTGATTGTTTTTATTGAGAAGTAATATTTTTTTCCAGAAAATAAGGTAAGAGATTTCCGACTCTTGAATATCCACGCATCCAAAATTTGCCTGAATTTTGGACAATTGAGATTTTACTGTATAATCATTGAAAAAAAAAAAGTTTCTTGTGTAAATAAAAATTTATATCTTTTACAGTTTTACTATGGTGGAATCTCTCACCCATGGAAGTTCCTCTGCGACCCAAGCAACCTTGATCATGGTGTCTTGATTGTTGGCTATGGTGTTCACAGTAAGTTCGTTGCCTTGTTTATAAGAATATTTATGAATGCAAATAATTTCGTATAGTTAATTATTTGAAAGCCAATATTTTTTGATAGTATAACATTAACAATCCATCTTCATCAGGTGATTTGTAAAGCACAATACACATTTTACTTGTTAAGAGAGCAATATAATGTAGGTAGGTCAGTCATTGAAAGTTAAAAATGGTTTTTCTAACTAAAGTAACAACCCCAAAATTTGGTTTTGCCATATTATTAGTATATTGGTGTTAAATTCATGCAACCCTGTGACTCTTAAGGAGAAGCATTGTAATAGTTTTTATTTTAAAGTTAAAACTTGTGATATTTTCATTCTTTTTCTTGGACTTTGCAGTTCCATGGTGTTTAGCTTTTTAAAAAAGTGTTTATTTTTGCTTTTCGTTTTTTAAAAGCCCTTAATGGTGCTTTCTTTATAGGGTGTTTTTAAAAAGTGCTTAATTATCCCTTTTTAAAAATGAGATTTACACAAAAGCTTGATTTTCACATTGTACTCATGAACGTTTTCACAATTCCTTCAAACTGTATTCAAATTCGGCAGACCGTCGGTTCGTAGCTTATGAAAGCGCCAATCATTTTACATGTTTGATGAAATACTTGCATGTCCACATACTGAACTGGATTCAGTATGAAGGATTCTTGCACTCTCTGCTGCATTTTTCAAGATATTCTTAATTTCAGGCTTTATTTTTATCCTCTGAAATCGAACCAAAAAATCTTTCGATATTTTTATGTTGGCTAATAAAATCAAGAAAAGAGTTCTTTGTCAGAAACTAGTTATTTTATCACGATCATGTAAAGTCTTTGAAAATTATTTTGCAGCTTGTTAATGTATATAGCGCTTAAAAATATTTTTTAAGTGCTTAAAAAGGACTTAAAAGGTCCTTATTTTTTGTTGAAAGATTTGGCTACACACCCTGCTATTGTATCCGTAATTTTAAAGTAATTATGAATGTTTTGAAATTAATTTTTGTTTGTTTTATTATTTTTTTAGCGTATCCGATATTTAAAAAGACTCTTCCTTTCTGGATTATAAAGAACAGTTGGGGTGCCTCTTGGGGAGAACAGGTAAATATTGAACCATTTCTTTCAATGTATAAATGGAATTTAAAATTGACTACAAATGATTCTTTCTGTTGATGCAATAATTACTCTGACATAACAGTTTAAATTTGAATTGCATTTTAAAAATTCAGAATTGAGTTTTGCATTTAAAGTAGAAGTTTTGCTTATTTTTTTCTATTCAACTCAGCAGAGAAATTTTTGAGTGGAACCATAAATAGTGTTACGCTGACGTAACATCTAGTACTTTAACATAATTTGCTACTTTGTCATAGACAGAAACACATTCACTGTTAAAACTTTGCTAAATAAAATTCACACAGTGATATTATTTAAAAGTTTTTGATTTACTCTACAATAATAAAAAATTATTTTTTACATGGAATTGCCTTTGGTTAAATGAATTTCGCAATTGTATCCAGAGATTTTTCGATTTGCTTAAAAAGTTCTCTTAAGTTCTAAAAGTATAATCATATATCAAAATATAGAAAAAGTGAAATTAAAATTAAGGGTCAGTTTAAATTTGAATGTGCTTTTCACTGTTTACGCCTTTGATATTTCAGTTTGTTGTTTTCAAAAACAAATTTTTTTTCTTCATGTTTTAAAAAATAAATTAGGCAGTTTATACACAAGTCTATATTTTGATTACACAACTTAAGATAATAAAATAGGGAGTAAATACATTAAAATCGCCTTACCTTTCTTTTTTTACTGATAATTTTGCCTTAACTGACCATCCATTTCTTCCTTTTGCATTTTAACTAACCATCAATTTCTTCCTTCTTTTGTCTGTTAACTTTAATCGATAACTTTAAAAATTCTGTAACGTTTGTATTAATTAGAAAAATATCTTAACTTTTTCCTCAACTATAATGAGTTTTGCACTTATCAATTTTTTTAAAAATGTCTTAAGTATAGCCATTGCTTACTACTCCATTTGTATAATTTTAACCTGGACAAAGTTTAAATGTCTGACAAATGATTTTAGGGTTATTATCGAGTCTACCGTGGTGATGGAACATGTGGATTGAATTTGATGGCCTCATCAGCTGTTGTTAATTAAGAGCCCGTGTGGAACAAAAAAGTTGTTGTACTTTTATTTTAAGGTGTTGCCTAGTATTGTTGATTGTTTTTCTAAAATAACTTTTTTATTTAAATGTAGAACATTTTAATAAAGTTTGTATTTTTATATTTGTCATTTGTTTGTTTATATTTATTTTAAATAGAAACAAATGTTAAAATAAGGGATCAATTAAAAATTTGTAACATTTCTAGTGTTATATGAAAAGTTATAAATATTTCTGTTCAGTTTTTATAAGTTTAACTTCAAAAATTTTTGTATCAGAGACTTTTTTCAAGTAGTGTTAGGTTTTCTTCGAATGCATATGGGAAAAATCCAGATTTGCATAATGTACCAAATCATTTACGCATCGGGAATTTTACGGATTTTTACAGTAAAAAAAAAGAAAAGAAAAATTGCAATATTTTCCTGTCATGATTGGCATCAAATATGCTTGAAATGTTGTGAATTATGTTTACTCATAATTTTGAATAGTTATAGGCATTTAATTCATAAAAAATCATTAAGATTCCTTAATTTAAAAAATGAGTTCTAAATAAAAATAAACTGAACATTTTAGAACAAAAAAAAGTTTTAAACTGATTTGTTTAATTGAAGCTCACTTCATTATACATTAGTAATACTTATTTAAATATTCATGCAAACAATAATCCATGCAAAAATTCTATTTCTGTAGGGATTTTTTTTTTTGGAAAACTTACCCAATTTTAAGGAATTTTCTAAAATGTACTGAAACCAGGAGAATTTTCATTAAACCAGTAGATCAGGAGAAACTAGCAAAATCCAGTAGAGTTGGCAGCTCTGCACATGAAATGTTCATTTTTCACACATCAAATTTGTAACAGTTGTTCATTTTTGATAATTAACTATTTCTGATTATATAACTGGTTAGATACAGTCCCTGGCGAAATTATTTCGACGCACTATAAGATTCTATGTAAAATCTTAATTATCAGGTTATACTATACAGATATACCGGTACTATTAGACGATATATAATATAAATTTGTCAATTGGATAAATTAGACAATATATTATAGAATAATTATTATATCAAGCATTATATTAGTTTACTAGATAATTAGATCAAACTATTAGACGCACTGTAGTGTTTTAATAATGACATGTTTTGCACGAGTTTATAGGCAGTACTTTTATATTTAAACATACATGTGATGGGTTTTTATTCAGGAGATTTTTTATATACATCCTATTTGTATTTATTTTCAACATATTGCATTACAATGTTAACCAATTGATACAGGAGCGTAATCAATATAGCTTATAGTGCGTCTAATAATATATCCAGGGACTGTATGTCCTAATGCACTTGTTTATTATCCACTATTAGATGAAAGTTAAAGTTACTAATGAAAATAAGTCATATTTGGAGAAAGGAAAGAAATACTAATGCTGTAAACATCACCTTAACCAAAAATTTCTTCTAACAAGAGTTGCTGTGTCTGTTTGCTTTCCGTGATATTAACCTCTTATGGCTCTGATAATTCACATTATGAATGATTGTAGGCCTTGGGTCTTAGAATTGGATTATTCAAATGATTGAAGCTTTTATGCCGATTGTAAAAGTATTACCTGTACATTGCAAAGTTGAAAGGAAGCTAAAATTATTTTTTAATATTTTTGTTTTAGGTACGTTTCTTCTGTTTTCTCTCTTTTTTTCGTTTTGTTCACGCACCTTCAAGAATAGAAAGATTCAAAATACTGCAGTGAAGGACAACTCATATTTTTTTTTCTCCAAAAAATTAAGTCATCTATCTTTATTTGCATTTTAAGCTACAAGTATTAAAATTTGTAATGTTAACTACACAGTTAATATCAACATTGAGTCATTTTAGACACATTGTAAATTGCACCAGATGATCCACATTCTGGTTGAATTTTATCACATACATTGCAAAATGTTAATAAAAAATGAAAGTACCAACTTGATATAATAACAAGAAATTAATAACTAAGATAAATAGGGTAATAAGAAATATTTGTAGTGCTTGCAAGAGGCTATAAATGGGCATCATTTATCACATATAATCTAAATAGATTTAACAGTTTACACCAGGGCTTACTAGATTTGGACACAATGATGAAACCAGGGTTTTAACTATCTTGTTGACAACCTTTTTGTCACACTGATTTTAAACTAAAACCTAATTAGTTAAGAAAAACTCTTCCGTTCATTGTAGAAATATAAACAAAGAAATTGTAGAAGGTTCGTAAATTAGTAATAAATCTATAGTATGATACAACTTATTAATTTAATGATTATTAAATGTGTATATTAAGGAAGAAAAAAAAAACGATTGAATTAAAAATATCTGGTTCTAATTTTTCTGTCTTAATCTCTCCCTAAGTAGGTATCGAAACCTAGTTTTATGTGATAAATGCTAAACCATTACAAAAAAGACAACAACAACAAAAATGTACTTAGTTTGCATCACAGAAATATAGGGGTAAGACTGGGCTATAATGTCCGATCCATAAACTGTCAGATTTGATTTAATCATCGTTTAGCTGTTTAAAATTTTTGAAAAAGTCAAATCACCTTATCTTAACCCACTAGTGCGACTCTATGGAAAGTTTAGAATTTGAACCAAAAATTAGCAGACATTTTTATTTTGAGTCAATTTAAGAATATTATGAATGAAATTCACTTCCTTACTACCTTCATTGTTTTTGGCACAGCAAAAACACTTCTCTCCTTACTACCTTACCTTCCTATTATTAGTTCACGCTCTCCCTATTATCTTGTTCAAATTTTGAATCGTTCATAAAATACTTTTTACTCATCCACTCAACTTCAAATACATTTTTTTTTAAAACTTCTAGTGGATGACACTTTGATGTTAATACAGTTTTTTTCAAATATTAATTCATTCATTAAATAGGGATGAGCAGAAAATGAAATTAAATTTTCTGATGGGTTAAGTGCTAGTCACTCTTTTAAATCTTACTACAGTAGGGAACCGATTATCCGGAATGATCGGGACCATCGATATTCCGGATAACTGATTTTTCCGGTTTTCTGAATCGCTGCAAAAAGCCGTTTTTTTATTGTTAAACCCAACTAAAAGAAAAATACTTGGAAATAATCTTAAAAAGAAGAAAAATGATGAAGTAATACACTAATAATTATTTCCAAAATGATGGTAAGGTAAACATCTTTCAAAAAAGAAAGAAAAATCCTAAAATCTTAAGAGGAAAAAGAAAAAAATTTTTTAAAAATGGCGGGAAAATTTATCGGTTTTCGTTCCGGTTTTTTGGTTTTCCGATTTCCGGATAACGGGTTCTGTACTGTATAAGAGATTCAGTTTTCCACATATTTTAAAAATAGCATCAGTGATAATTTCTAACTTAAAGCTAGCTCTATATTTGAACAACAACAAAAAGTTTATTGCGTGCATTTAATTATTTTATATTCACTGTGTCAGATAAATTCAATAAAGAACATCACGTGGTAACACGTGTGGTAAACGTCACCAAATTGATACTCTTATAGTTGTCTGATACCACGCATATTTTTTTCTTCCAATTCCTACTATTAGTTCACACTCTATATACATATTGCATTTATATATCTTGTTCAAATTTTCAATCGTTAATACATTAGATCGTTAATACATTTACAACGTTATACATAAATCAATCATAAATCATGATTTACGTTAATACATAAATCAAATCGTTAATACATTTATTCATCTACTCAAGTTCAAATACATTTTTTAAATTTCTAGTGGATGACACTTGATGCTAATAAAATTTTCAAACATTAATTCAATAATTTTAGTTATTTTTGGGAGAAAAATTGTAATTATTTAACAAAAATAACTAAAATAAAATTTTTCTTTATTGACCTAAGTAGGAATTGACTTTCAAATTTGTTTTTTTTTTTTATTTTACTTGTTTTGGAGTTAGAAAATTACATTATTACAATATAATCAATCAATATCTAAAGTGTTTTTTTTAGTCTTCATCGGAAGTAACAGAAATGAAGGATTTAGGTTTTTCTGATTTAACTATTTTGTTGGATTGGTTTTTCATACTTTTTTTCTTTTTGGTCACTTTGCTTTGAGATTAGGTTTTTATCTTTTTTCCCCTCGAGACAATGCAATACAACTTTTTCTTTCTTGATTCCTGTTCATTTTTCCAGGGGTGATTGTGAGCCCAAGTCAAAATTCTGGAAAATTTCCTGAATTTGAAAAAAAAAAGTTTAAATTGAAAAATTAGAAAAAAATTTAAACAAGGTTTTTTTTCCTTTTTCTCAATATTTCTTAGTTTACTAAAAATATATTTAAAATTTTACACATACCTATACCATTTACACATACCTATGATGACCTAGAGAAGTAATTAAAATTTACAAATATGTCTTTTTTTTTTTTGAGTTTATGATTATAACAACTATTTAGTGATAAAAAATGAATATTAATCATGAATATAAGCTTATAAAGTATCTCTGTGGCTCTCCCTTACAAACAAATTAAATAAACTGTGTTTTTAAGTTCTACGTTTAAAAATTTGATTTCCGGAAACTTAAGTGATCAATGATTTTTTGAAACATCTGGACTTTCGATCTCCGGAAACTTCCGGATCACTGTTAGCGAAAAATCCGGAAATCAGGATTTTTCCGGAGCACAATCAGCCCTGTTTTTCTTTATCCTGATATTCTAAATCGTCTTTATATCGGCAGTCTTACCCCGAGAGCGGAGGTTATCGAAACGAAACAGAACCATTCAAGTACTGGACTAAATTGTTATTGTTTGTTAAAGTATGAATTGTTAGTAAACATATAATAAGCTGAGCTAAAAAAGATTTTTTATACAAGGTATCTGCTACATTTTAGATTTTCAAATTCATGACTTTCCATGACTAATTCCAAGGATTTTTCATGACTTAACGAAGTTACTATTCTCTCCGACAAAAATACGACAATAAATTTAAAAAAGAATTATAATAACATTAATTGAAATGATAGGTATAACCAAAACTGTTATACTCTGCATCTTCATATTTATAGATTTTAAATTTACAAAACAGAGTAAAGAAAGAGTTGAAGCAATAAAATAGCTGAAAAAAATACAAAAGCAAATAATTTTTTT